TCTCTCTCTCTCTCTCCCTCCTTCTTTTGATACACGGCTTATTTCCTCCCTTAGGCTATTTCCCCCGAAACTTGAGCTGTAGAGAGATGAGAGCTGTATTATTAAGAACATGTAGAATTTTATTCTCTCCAAGTTTTTTTTTTTTTTTGCTTTTTGAAGAGTTTAGTTTATTAGTACACCTGCTCCAAATTGACTTGACTATTTTTACTAGAAATCTCAGGCTTCGTTTCTAAAATAAAATCTGATTATGTTTCATCTTTGTTTGTAAACTTCCCTTGTTGTCCAGCTGCCTTCAGAATAAAGTTTAAATTCCTTTATATGGCTTGTAATGCCAGAGGGTCCTCTGTCTTCAGGCCTCCCTGTCACTATGGGTGACTGCCCTTCCTTGCCTAAATCCCAGGCATCGAACTGAATTACATTCATGTTCTGGAATTAAGCTCTTATCTCGGTGCCTTTGCGCATGCTTTTCTTCTGTTTAGAAAGTTCTCATTCCTCTTTTTTCTCAGTTAGCTCTCCCTGCTCTTTAGGTTTCCTTTGTCCTTACTTCTGGGAAGTCTTCTCTGACTGACCTGAGAGTCCACTGTAATTCTGCTCACATGGCTGCTGGATCTGCTGTTTTCCAGTGTGTATCTCTTAGACTAATACTGAGAGGGGCAGTGTTAGTGTCTTATTTACAGTTAAATTAGAACATCCTTTAAAATTCAATAAATATCTTGCCAGGGAGATAGCTCAGTGGCACAAGCACCTGCCTGGAAAGCACAAGGTTCTGAGATCAATCCCTAGCACTGCAAAATCAATCAATCAATCAATCAATCAATCAATCAAACCAATAAATATCTTGATTGTATGTGTATCTCTGTGTGTTCTACACTGCATAGCACAATGCTATGTATAGGACAGATATGTAATACCATGCTTATAGAATAATAAATACTGGCTAACCTAACTTAAGCTCTTTGGTTGATTTGCAGTTTTATGTATGGGGAGCTGACTGATAAAGACACAGTTGAAAAGGTGCGGCAAACCTTTGAGAACTATGAGATGAATTCCTTTGAAATTTTGATGTACAAGAAGAACAGTGAGTATTCAGACCGTTCTGAGCCATGCGTCTGTGTGTGGGGGGTGGCATCTCCTCCACCTCATTGCTGTCTAGCTTGGTTGCTGTCTAGGTTGTTATCCTCTCCTGGAAATGAAGTGTAGTTCCGTGAAGCTACTGTGTATATTGGTGTAAATATGAGATTGATGAGCTACGCTCTTCCTCAAGGAACCCTTGATCAAGTTCTTGCTACTGACTGATGAAGACTTCTTTATCTATTTTACTGCCAAGAGTGAGGGTTTTTATGTCGGCTTATGGTGATGAGTCTTGTGTCTTAATGTGGGAAGGGACAGAAATTCTGTCCAGTTCATCTTTGTATTTCTCTTTCATAGCACCTAGTACAGTAACTCCAGTAGATGCCCAAGTAAGAGTTTCTAAATAAAATACTGTCCTAATAACCCTGGAGATAGTTAACGCAATGCATTATCAGGTTGGATGTTTGCATTACAGTTATTTCCACAAAGCATACCAGTGATGGTTTAAGGTAAATAATTATACACCAGTATGGAATAAACTTTTTTTTTAGGAGGTTTCCTGTCACGTGGAGATTTGTTACGCTAATGCTAACACACATAGAAAGCAGCTCGGGCTCTAGCAGCACTGCAGACATGTGGAATAGTACTTTGTTTCTGTTTTGAAAACATGATTGTGGTTATAAAGAATCCGGTTCTTTATATGCATGGCTGATGGATAGGCTGTTTGTTCAATAGAACTTTTCCAGAGTGGCCTAGAAGGTACACAAGGATCAGTGGTTATTTGGTGGCATTTGGTTCTAAGTGTTTTGCCCTGGGCAGCAAGGGGCAGATCTTGCTTTTATCTTAATGGTACTAGGGCCCTGTATTTGTTATTCTTTTTTTTTAAATTAACAATATTGGAATATCTGTATATACATAATGATCACATTCATAATAGTGAGTTTTTACCTGTATGTGATATATCTTAATTCTTTTTTTCCCATCCCCTCCTCTCCCTTCAACCTCTCTTTTCCTGTTTATCCACAAAAGCTTTGTTTCCATGTTATTCCTTCTATTCTCTTTTTTCTTTTCCACTCTTTCCTACCCCTCCCTAATTTCCCTTCCCATTGAATATTTTCTTCCTATTTCATAATATCAGTTACACATTTTGGTCCTTATTTGACCTTTTTGGGTTCTCACATAAAAGAAACCATCCAATATTTAAATGTGCATCCAGTTTATTTCACTTAGGACTATGGTCTCCAGATGTATCCATTTAGCTAGAAATGTTTCAAGTTTATCCTTCTTTATGGCTGAGTAATACTCCGTTGTATACCACCTCACCCTCAGTTCTCTTCATCCACTGGTTAATGAGCATTTGGGCAGTTTCCAAGATTTAGTAGTTACAAACTGTGTCACTACGAACATAGGTATGCCTGTATTGCTGCTGTATGGTGCTTTCAACTCTTGCAGGAAGATACCAAGAAGGGGAATTGCTGGGTCAAATGGAAGCTCTAGCTTTTATTTTTTGAGGAATCTCCACATTGATTTCTGCAGTGGTTATCCCTGTCTACCTTCTGACCAACAGTGGAGAGGGGTTTGTTATTGGTTAATTTCTTGATAATAGCAATTCTTTTTAGAATGAGATGGAATCTCAGTGTTTTCATTTGCATCTACTGAATGACCAGTGATACTGAATAGTTTTTAATTTAATTATTTGGTGTTTCTACTTCACATGAGAAGTGTCGAATAGTTTCAGATGGCCAGTTTGGATTGCATCTTTAAATTGGGGGAGTCTGATGCTTTTTGAGTTCTTTATGTATTCTAGATCTTAGTGGGACTTATTTTCTGTTGGAGCATCGAGCCCGGCAGCGCACAGGGCTGCTTGCACGATGGCCTGTGCAAATGTTGGTCTGAGAGCGAGCTCTGGCCAGCAAGTTCAAGAGGGCTGTTCTGCCACTCTCGTGCTGGATTTGCCACCTGCTCCAGCTTCCTCCTCCAGTCAATAAGATTTCCTTCTTTCCCTGCTGTTGGCTATGAGGGGGATGAGGTGAGGGACTGTGTGGGTCTCCCCAAATCCTTCCACTATGAGGGCACAGCTCCAAGGAGCAGCTCTGGTCAGGACCGTGTCAGTGGTGGCCCCTCAGCAAGGGGGGCCTGGTCTGCACACGTGCCCCAAGCTAACAGATGCCGGTTTCCGCATGGCAGCCTCGTGCATGAGCAGTGTGACTTCCCCATGACACAGTGTGCTGATTGGCATCATAGATAGGATGCTTCACACTTGTATTTTGCTTCAGAATTTTCAAGTTTCCTTAGACTATGCATTTAACTCACCATTTGAGTAGGCATGTTACATGAAACAGAAACACACACACACACACACACACACACCACGGTTTATTTATTTATTTATTTATTTATGCATTTATTCAGTGGCTGGCTCAGCCCGCCCTGGGGCATGTGGTGTCAAGGATGGAATTTTAGTCTTCGGTCCCTGTGCTTTGCCTAAATTTGCTTAAGCAGGCACTTTATTTGTTTTTTTCATTTGTGTATTTGGTATAGGGTCTCACTACACAGATCAGACTCCTCGTGATCCTCCTGTTTTCAGGCCTCCCCAGAGCTGGGATTATTGAGGTGTGCCTCCATGCCCAGACTCAGCTGACCAGCTCAGTGCACCCCAGGGGCAGGGCTGGCATGGTATGGGGGACCGGGTATTGAACCCTGGTCCCTGCACTTGCCTAAGCAGGCGCTTTAGTCCGTTGAGCTATCTGGCTGGCCCTCCCCTGCTGTTTCTGAGGATGAAGCCTTTGTATGGCTAGTGTCTGGTTGCACTAAAAGTGATTCCAACACTGGACGTTCTGTTCCTTAGGTAGACATGAGCTATCTATGTTAGCCAACTACTTCTTCTGAGGAGGCACTTAGGAAGCTGTGTCATCCCCACCCCTAGACTGTGGTGGGCTTATTGAGTGACAAGTGACAACTTCCAAAGTATCATGCTGACCTGAGTATGGGGTTATACTTTCTGGGTAATGTTGAGGCTTTTCAAAAGCAATTGTGGCCCTGCCCTATATTTACTTTAGCCTTTAATTTTAGAAAATAAGTTTTGAGTTTCACTGGTATTGGAGATCAAACCTGTGGCGGGAGGGTCATGAGCCTGAGGCCAGCTTGGGCAATTTAGCAAGAAATTGTCTCTAAATACACAGCCTGGAGACATGGGAAATACACATTATGTGAAGTATAAAATTGTTGATCCTTTAAGCCCTGTCAGGTAGGCATGGCTGAAGGTTAAACTCCTTATTTAAGGTCACACAGTGCCAGGATTGTTTCATGTTTGCCCCACGCTCAATCTAATTGTGTGCACAGAGCAGGGCCATCACCTATAATTATGCAGGCTGTGTCCTGCAGAGGAGTGGAGCAAAACCTAGATCGTAATTTGCCTGGTGAGTCCTCTTTGTACCCTGGTCAGGGCGTGCATCTGTGCTAAGAAAGGACTTCTTTAATAATTCACACAGAGACACACAGTGGGTCAACAGAGGCTCTCTACAAGGCTAAGCCATACATAAAACAAGGCATGAGAGTGAAGAAATGATGGGGACAGTGGTGATTTCTTCCCAGGAACCTGAAGACTGTGTCTCTTCAAATCCGTCTGCTGGGGAATTTAGAACCATTACATAGTTTGTTAAGCCTAGAAATGATGCAGTTGCATTGGATCATGCTTCTTTCAAGAGCTGTTTCTTGACCAGGTACCACAGATATTACACTTGCTGCAAGAGACACAGGTGCAAAAAGATAGATGAAGGGTGCTCTCTTACAGCATGTGCAGGGCAGGGGCAGTATCCACAGTCCAGAGCCTTAAGTCCTTTGATAGCGATAGTGCATAGGTGAGTTACTTAACCCTCGTGTAGGAAGTCTTCTAACAGACATGATATTAGTGCAGAAATTTGAGGACAGGTGGGAATGAGGTAGAGAAATGGGAAAAGAACATTCCTGGCTGATAAAATGCATGTGGAGAGAGTAGCATGGGAAAAAAGGGAGTAGGAGGATTCAAAAGACAGAGCAGTCCTTTTCAAACTTTGCTTTGGAACTCTCATGTGCAGTCTGGGGAGGGTCCCGACATCTGGTCCAGCATGATGCCGAGGCTTCTGGTCTGCATGTCATCCTCCAAGCAGCTGGGCCACAGAGCAGCTCTAATGGGCAAATGTCATGCCTGCACAGGATGCGTTTTTCACAGGTGTATCCCTGCACCTGTTATATGCCTGATAGAAAATGTTCCACCAAAACTCAAAAAGTCAACGAAAACATAAATGAGGGGTTGCTAACGAGCCTGGAATAGATTAGGAAGGCTAGCCCAAAGAATGTGGCATCATTTGAAGAGCAGCAGTGAGCCAGGCATAGGAGATTGAGGCAGCACATCACAGATTTGAGTCTGACACGTGTAAATAAAAAAATTAAGAAATCTGGAGATGTGGCTCATTGTGAAGGCCCTGGGTTCAGTCCTCAGTATTGAAGAAAATATTGCAGCAGTGGTGGGCAAGAGAGATGGGATGAGAGATGCTAAAGGGGATTTTAAGTGGTGTGAGGGTAGTTTCACATTTCCTTGGAAAGATGGCCCAGCTAGAGGGTGGGGCTAGGTGGAACGTGGCTGGAGGGAGGTGGAGGGCCCTCTGGAGTCACACTGGTGACTGTAGCCTGGTCAGCAGGAGGGGTGTTTGAAGTACAGATGTCCAAGAAACAGTAGGAGGAGGTGCTAAGAAAGACTTTCCAAAGGCTGGCTCTTGCCTTAGTTTGCCCAGCCCTAGGTAGAGCCAGGAAGTGGAGACCCAGCACTTCCTGTGGAGGGCGCTTCTCCCATATCAAGTGGAACAGCTTGGTGGCCTGGTGTTGGGAGCTGTTTGTTCAGTGGCTTTGAGAGGAACCTGGGAGTTAACAAGAAATAAGTGAAGGAAAGGAAATTACACAAGTCAGGTGAGGGTCTGGGAGGCCACAGGAAGAGTCTACCCTCTGATACTCTAGAAGGTAAAATGTTGC